CCCCCACCCCCACCCCCCCGCCGCCGTTGTTCTCCCACCACTCCCCCTCCTTGTGTGTGAAACCGATCCATCCTCTCATTCTGCCGCTCTTTCTCTCATCCTCCATCCCTCGCTCCCTGCGCTGCACGGCGTTTGTCTGATCAGTCTTCCCGTACACCCGATCGCAAGGAGCGCAAGGCCAACTCTGCGGGGAAGAAGAGGAGGCGCTCACCCTCACCGCCCAGCACTCCTGCTGAGTCCCGCAAGAAGGGAGGAAAGAAGGGGTAAGGATGCCACTTTCTCATCTTATCTTTTATATTCAGATGTAGAGCCAAGATTTAAAGGCTGAATATTTGTCTTTTACAACTTGGTCTGTGAATGATGAGGGATAAAAGCCAAACTCAAACAGATACTGTGTTACTTCCTGTCCTGAACACACCGTTTCCTCCTCAGATTGTACCTGATAGACAAAAAGGTCACCAGTGTGTAAGCAGCTCTGATACTCAACTTATGGTTCGTGGGCCAAATCTGGCTCATGACAGGGGGCCAGGTCTCCCAGCACATTCTAACTCACTCAACATAAACTGATTCAACTGAAACTTTTTCTCATGTAAATATGGTGATAAATATTACGATATCAAAATACAGCTGGTTTATCAAACAGGGGCCGATCAAGGGGCCCCAAATATCCTAAAATACTACAAGCACCCCTGCATACACCTTACCTGTGCAAGACTGCTGCAACTGGCCCCTGATCTCCTGTCCTGTCACTTATGTGGCCCCTGGTCTCCTGTCCTATCACTAACGTGGCCCCTGGTCTCCTGTCCTGTCACTAACGTGGCACCTGGTCTCCTGTCCTGTCACTAATGTGGCCCCTGGTCTCCTGTCCTATCACTAATGTGGCCCCTGGTCTCCTGTCCTGTCACTAACGTGGCCCCTGGTCTCCTGCCCTGTCACTAACGTGGTACCTGGTCTCCTGTCCTGTCACTAACATGGCCCCTGGTCTCCTGCCCTGTCACTAACGTGGCACCTGGTCTCCTGTCCTGTCACTAACGTGGC